CTGATGTGTCTGCTGTGTGTGGTTGTTACTTATTACTGAGGTGTAAATATGAATGTGTTTGTGGTGTGCAGGTCAAGCTGGCTGCAGGACACAAGTTTGACAGAGATGTTGAACTGCTGATTTATTACAAAGACGCCCACCAGCCCACTGCTGTGGTGGAGGCAGGACAGGTCTCTGCTGAGCCGGGTGAGTGAAAATATGTGAAGTCATTAGTTTGCAAATAAAAATTATTGTTCTTCTTCAACCTAAAAGTTAATTGTGTTGGAGCTATTATAAAATGTAAACTTGACATATTTCTGTCCTTTTCATGTGTTTCAGGCTCTCTGATGGGTGATCCAGTGGTGATGGTGAGTCTGTACCCTGAGTTCCCCCAGTTTGTGATGTCTTCAAAGGCTTCATGTGGAGAGTTTGTCTTCTTAATGGATCGATCTGGAAGTATGAATTATACTCGCATCAGCAGTGCCAGGGTATTTATGATGTGGTGTTAGATTTATAAAACATTTCTTAGTGTTCCTCTCACACAGTGGCCTCACCATCTTTCTCTCTTCCCTTCAGGATACTCTGCTCCTCCTGTTGAAGAGCTTACCAATGGGCTGCTATTTCAACATTTACAGTTTTGGGTCCAGTTATGAATGCATCTTCTCGTAAGTCTCTCCCTCGTATCATAGCCCAACAAAATCCAGCTGTCCGAGACATAGTTTATTTTCACTTTATTAAAGACACACATTGGTCAATAGCAAACAAAATAAACACAAAGATATATATATATATATAAAATAAATGTGTGTATCTGTGTTTATGTGTTTGCAGCACAAGTGCGAAGTACAAGCAGAAGAATCTGAATAAGGCTCTGAAGAAAGTTGAGCAGATGGAGGCTAATCTTGGACGAACAGAGATCCTGAAGCCTCTCAAACATATTTACAGCCAGCCGTGCATTCCCAATCAACCTAGACAGGTAGCACACCTACACACACACACACACACACACACACACACACACACACACACACACACACACACGATATAGATGATATGCCCTCCAAACCAGCTGAGATGGACTATGCTTTCCAAAGGTTCCAGAGTCATGGGAGAATGGCTACGCTGAAAATCCTTTAAAAATTTGCGTTACTTCAGACCTCGTACACTATTTATGTATTTACATACAGTATATATCTTGCCATATTTGACACACTCTGTCTCTATATCCAAACACCATTGGTTGGTAAACATAGACATTCAGAAATTATGAAAGACTTATGTCAGATTGGCCAATTATATCAATGCAGTTTCGATATCAAAGATTTGTTAAACAGTAGTAGGTAAAGTAAACGTAATAAAATCTCTTTTTCACGATTGCAAATGTCAGTACTTTATTGTTATTTTAAAATAATGATTCTAAATTTTTAGAGATATTTACTCTTAACAGTAAATATAAACTCACTGACACGGTTTGACGCCTCTACCCACATAGCAAAATTGGCATGGCCCGGATCTGGCCCACATACCGCAAAGAATGATGGCCTTTTGGTGGCCCTTTTTTCAGCTGTCCAATGACTCTGGGTCAGTGGCCTTTAATTGATTATCCAGTCTACACAGTCTCTTCTCCAGGGTCCAAGGGATTTCACCAATGTATTCGCCCCCACAGCTGTAGCAGCCACTGCAACCCCTGAAATTGTTATTACCTAATATTACCTAATATCTCTGCCGTTACAATATATACAGTGTCAGAAATCAAACACAGAGCAGTAGAGAACAGTACAGCGGCAAAATGTCAAAGACCCTGGTGAAGACATGAGTAAACACAAGAAACTAACAATATCAAGGCTAGTTTTCCAGTTAGTGTCTCTGAAACCCAGATCAAATCCAGTGTCACAGATCTCGTAAAAATACATTCGATGTGGTAAAGGTATACATATTTATCATGTGGCATATACAGGGAGCAGGGATTTAACCCTTTGAGTTAAAGCTGAAAGTCACCACTTCAATCACATCTTGATTGTTTGATTTCAAATCCACCATGGTGGTGTATTATAGAATTAAGAAAAATAAACAATTCTAACTTCCGCAGCCTTGAAAACGAGTGAGGGATCTTCCTTGAGAAAATGAGGAAAGCCCAGTATAAGAATTGTCCTCTTCCTTTGTGTAGAGCTCTGGTCAAAGAAGTCAAAAAGAAAACAAAAGAAATTTTAAAGTGTTTAAAGCATTTATGAAGCAGCTGCAAATTCACACCATTTTCTTACATAATGTCATCAATATACAAATATCAGTGGAGATAACTGGGTAAGTTATACCTGTCTCTCAATACTGTAATATATTAAAATATTGATAATATAATTATATGTTAAAATATATATTTTTGAGTCAGGTTGATCAGAACATTCAAGTAGAATATACAACCTACCACAAAAACACAGATTCTGTAAAAGTTATCACACTAAATGTCACACTAATTGTGAAATATGATGGGAGACGTTAGAGTACATTTAGCAGTTGAACACTTTTATGAGCCTTGTTGTTATGGTGCTCTTGGTTTTGTACAGCTCAAGGATTATGCATTTTGCATAATTTTAAAAAGTTTAAAT